AGAACGCTGCCTGAGCCAGTAAAGAGGTTTTTTGGATACCTCTGTGTCAACATTAGTTTAACAATCCATGTTACTCAAAAAAGGGATTGGAATTTCAGAAACTGGTAGGAAAGGAAATAAAAAAGTGGAAAAAAATATGTGATTGTCAAAATATGCCTTATGCTTATATCTTGTGTACAGTGAAAGTTCATCCACTGCCATGAAGGTCATCGGTGCAGATGGAATTTTTACCCAGTGTGAGCTCACGCGAAGTAGCCTAGGTGGGCAGGTGGGCATGTTTTGGGGAAGGAGCGTTCTACCGTTTCTTTATTTCTACACTTTTCTCAGTTCTTGGTCAGCCACCTCTGTGTTAAAGCAGCCCTTGTCTGACAGCAGTGGTGTTTGTCCTCCTGCGTTCCTGTGCTTCAGTCCCGTTAGTGGGCCCTAATAAATACTGTATCGTACGTGCTTTTACGTTAAACCATTCTGGAGAGGAACGTGATCTTTTACTGCCTACAGCCCAGTTTGTCAAGCAGGCGAGCAGGATTCCTGAAAGGCGGAAGCTCTCTTTGTAGGAGTGAGAGGAGCTGGAGGAGGACTGCATGCTTGGGTTTCTCTGTCCTCCAGAAGTCTTCCACTGCAATCGACGGGCAGTTTGGCTTCCGCAGCCAGTGTGTGTTAGCGCACTGCTTTCATATCTGCTCCACTACTCGTGCCAAATTCCGTGTGAAAACCACCAGCCTTCCTGTTGTCGTTTTTGTTAATATCCATGCTAAAACATATGTTAATCGGAAAATATACTCGTGTGACTAACTCTGTTGGCAGTGTTGACTCCACGGGATTTAACACTTGGTATGAAAGCTGAAAATCCAAAAGCCTTTCGTCCCGAGATCTAACCAAAAACCAGTTCTGAAAATGGGTTCTGGTTTGTGTCAGAAAAGACTTCAGTGCCAGTTGTTCATGCTGCTTTTACCTCCGTTTCAATCAAGCTTTTGATTAAAGAAGTTATAATTGTTAAAATCTATATTGTACCTGTTTACAGACTTATCTTTTTATTTTTAAATAGCAAAATGACCAGGGTTTTGGCAGCCATCTGAATCTCATTAGGAAATGTACATCCAAAGCAGCTTACGAGGAGAGGTTAATATTAGTTTTTATATTAGATGCCTTAAATTTAAATGCTAGAAAAGAGAGTGTGTGTTTGTGTATGTGTGTATATATACATATATTTATCTATTAGAAATGAAAATTTTAATATCTTAAGTTTCTTTCTTCCTTTTTATTTTCTGTACTAAAAAATCTGTTGCTTTTTAAACGGAATCAGTAATTCCAAGCAAGGGTATTGGTTTAGTACAATAATATAAGAGAGATGCCTGCTTTTTCTACTCCTGTGGGACCTATTTACAGAGTCGCTGGTACACAGTGGAGCTTACTGAGTTATAGAAGAGCCGATCAGGTAATTTAAGATTTGTACAAGTTGTACACATTCAGAGCAAAATGTGATAATTATAACTCTGCCCTTTCACTCCATCAGTGTTAACCAGACTCACTGGGAGAAAGCGTTTTGTTGGAGAGAAGGTATTTTGAATGACTAAGTTGAACCAGGACAGTTATATAACTCCATGCAAGCCTAAAATTAGGTTACTGAAGTTTGTCCTAGATGCTAAATTTATCTTCTGGGCTGTTGTCCTGGCACACAGCAGTTCTGCTAGGCTTACCCCCCAGGTTAGAACACGATCATGGGTATATGCAGTGGCCTAATGGAGTTCTTCCATGTAACATCTCCTCACTCGCTCACTCCTGCTTTCTGGGTTGTACCCAGTTACTTATCCGTGCAAGAAATGTCCCTGGTTTGCTCTCTCCGTTTCAGTTTCTTTACAGATTTTGGCAGGGACTTTCTGAAAGCCTTTCAGAAAGCTGGGAAGATGGTTTGCATGAGAGCAACTCAGTGTTTTTGCTTGTTGGTCTCTTCAGAGAAAGCTAATGGGTTTGTGAGGTCTGAGTTTTTGTTTTCAAAAGCAATATGGACACTTCTGAAGGAGACCCATCTGGTAATGATATTATCTGTGATAGCTTCTGCTGACTTGTTCAGGATGGATATAAGGTTAGCAACCTGTTAGCTTCCTCCCTGACCATTAAAAAATGGCATCACATTAGCCACCTCCTGCTTCCTGAGGTGTGTAAGCAAGAGATATATACCACAATTACCAGCTCGGGAACTTCATTCTTGCATTTCTTTATGCCCTTTGGATGCCCTGATATGGTTCTGTTACCTCGTACCATCCTAAACATACAACTTCGTGTTTGGCCATATGAAAACAGGAATGATTTGCTCTTATCTGCTCTGTCTGTGGTCCAGTTGTGATCTGCGTTATCCTTTTACCTCCTCGCAGCCCTCATCTTTTCCTGCAGGTTTGGGTTGCTTTACTTTGGGTTACTTAAAAATGCAGAACAAGATAGGGCCAAGAATGATCTGCGCTGCGCCTCTTAGAAGTGTATTGGGTGGGCAAGAGCATCACCTGCTTCTGGGCCAGTAAGGCTTAGTGCTTTGGCAGCTAATCAATCTTTAATCCATTTAACACATGTTGTGTTTTTATAATGCTTGAATACTTTAATTGAAATATTACGCAACATTCGGTCATTACTTAATAAATCTAAACATCATTATCAACACAGGAGACATGTGTGGTCTCCTCAGATGACATTGGTGAAGTTAATGGGACCAGACTGTGTTGGTTGGGGTTTGTTTCTCCTCTTTGATTTCCTACAGAGACTGCCATACCGTGAGCCTGTGTTTTGACTGAGCTTGAGGGAAACTAGTTGTTTAGAACTTACACATACCAAAATCATCCTTCAACTCTTTTATAGTAATTATTTTTTTCACTATTTTGGTATTAAGATTTCTTGCAACTCAGCCTGTATAGTCTGAGGATCTCCTTGGAGACCTCTTCTTAACAAATCCCGCCTTTTTGTTTCTTTGCCGATGTTTATGTATGGATAGCCTAAGCCTAGGCAATAGGTGTGTAGCAGCTGAGTAACTGGTGTAGTGACAAATGGAGTAGGTGTTTCACAGCCCTAGGAGCTGGACTTCCTCCCCCTGCTCCACCAGTCCCTGTGCTGACCGTACAGAGACCACAGACGGTGTCGCTGAGACACAGCGTCATTGCTGGATTGTAACCGGCTGTGCCCGGGACCCCAGACAGCCCCTACACAGATTCTTCCTTATTTATCCTGCAAATCATCCTTTCTGTGGCGTGTGTATGAAGGCAGTGATAAAATCTAAATATTGGTTTTTTTATTATTGAGTTGAAAAACTACTGTTAATACTGGATAGTATGCTTTATCTATTGCAACCAGAGAGGATCCAAAACTGTGTTAGGATGTGATCAGTCTTTAAATGCATGGAAAGCTCCTTTGAATCCTGTTTTTAGGAATACATTTAGGCAAGCCAGGCAGCAGTAATTTTAGGTATGGTTATTTCTGCTTTCTTTAATGTGGTAGAACGACTTTCCAGAGTATTTTTCAAACCTTGGCTTCCATGATTGACTCCTCTAGCTCCCGTAAGGAGTCTAGCAGTAAAAGGTTGTTTAACAGCAGCTCCAGGTGTACCATCTGTGGAAACTCCGTTTAATTTCTTCACAGTCTCTTTTGGAAGAGTCGCCCCAGTGTTCCCAGGCTCCCAGTTTTATCAAGATGTTTGTGTCACAGTGTCGTTGCTTAGAACAGCTCTGGAAACTTTCTTAGCACCTCAGTTACCCTGACACCAAGTGCTGAAGAAATGAGAAGTCCTGTTCTCTGTGAATGGAGACCAGGGGTTGTGCCCACGGGAGAAGAGTCTGCAGGTTGCTTGGGTCCGTACGGCAGGGAGCGAAGGATCTGGCTTGTGCAGAGCTAGAGAAGAATGGGATGCTGCTGGAAGGTACAGATGTTGTTGGAGTTTGAACAGTGAATATCAGCATGGCTAGCACAAGCCAATGTAGAACTGCTCTGATGGTATCGTCATGGAACAATGAGGTTCTGATCATGAGGTTCTGATTGCGAGGACCTTCTTTTTTCCCTACTTATATATGGTAAGACTTTTGGAGAATGTTACTTGTATAGGAAGTGGTTAACCTCTAGATGTGAAAGTCAGTTTTATCACCCACTATTCTGTAAAGGCGCCTTGCTTAATTTCAGGAATTAGTAAGTGTCTGGATTCATCTGACTGAACTGCCAAAAATCATTGTACTTTCTGTTTAGATCTTACATCCTCATTTTTATTTTTTATTAGTGAAACAGGTTTGAACTTTGACGGAGTGTTCCAAACCCTTGCTTTCAGAGCCTCATTTGACTCTTACTGTTCCTTTGGGAGATTGCATGCCTTAATTTTGACATCTTAATTTAAAAGAGAGAGTGAGCAGGACAATAAAGAAATAGCTTTTCAATCCAGGCAGTCCTTGTATGGATGCCTAACTGGCAGTGATGTCAAGGTCTATTGTGCTTTTTTCAAATGTATTTTTAGAAGAGTTGGTTGCCCAGAACTGAAGATTAATGAGCATCCCTGAAAAAAAATAAGTTCAGAGTATGCAAGTGAGAGGTTCTTAATGCGTCATCAATAGCAATAGCCAACCTGCAAATGTTAGGACAAAGAGAACAGAGAACTTCAGGCTCACTTGTGCATGAATAAGGGTTTCTTCTGCTCTCTGCACCTTTCTCAATTTACTGGTTCTCCCAAACTACAGCCTGTAAGCATTAGCCTGTCTGGGGATGTGATCCCTTGCACACTTTATTAGCAAAGGGCTGTTGCTTGCTGTTACCATTCTGAGAACTGCATCCTAACTGCATGACACAGGTGCTCAGTGTGGAATACTGAGCATTGGTGCTCTGTTAAATGCCATCTTTATTTATTCCTGGTATCTCTTGGTCTTTCTAAAACATTCAGGAATATGAAAAGCTTTGTCCCTTGTTTTAAATAGCCTTATGACAAGTTCTTGTAAGCCTGTATGTATTTATAGTAAATATTACATTGTGTTTGTCACCAGGGAGATTGCAGCTATGAACTGGAGATTCAGCCACACTTACGTATTGAAGACGTTAATGTTCAAAGGAATAAAAGTCATCTTTCCATGACCAACTCCGCATTTGATCAGAAAGCACACTCGTCTAGAAAAGATGTGGCACACAGGTCAAAAGTAAAACCATTTTTACCTGATGCAAATGATAATGGGAGCGAACTCTTTTCCACATTTAAAATACTGAAAACAAAGACTTCCAAAAGAACTTCTGGATTAAATTTGGAAGTGCCAGTGTTGCCTACAGACGTTAATTCTTTGGCTTCTTGCTCACCAAGAAGGCTTGCTCCGGTTGAAGATGCTGACCAGGGCAGTCAAAAGGATGTGGAGCTAGAGGTGACATTTGACTTAAATGGATTTTTTGACATATGTGACACCAGTGAAAGTTCTACAATTCATGAAAGTGCAGCAATAAAGGAACACAAAGCTGTAGATAAAGCTCGTAGGTCACTGGGGACTGACCACGGAGGTTGGGGTTACAGTAGCCTCACAGCTGAGAAATCACCTGTATCCTCTGGCTTATTTTATCTTCCTGAATCATATGTGGATTCATTTGCGCTTGTGAGACCATCTGAGGAGCCTTCTTGGTTAAAAGGAATGTATTCCCAGGTGAAAAGGCTTTTATCACAATCTCCTCCCTCTTTGAATAAACTTCGTGATTTTGAAAATATGGTGAGAAAAGAGGAAACAATATATCCTTTTCAAAAAGTTATTTCTGATGGTTATTCAGAGGGACTGCAGGACAAAGGCTTTTTTGAGTTCTCAGAAGCTGATTGTTCACTGCTGCTCTTTGAAAATCCTCACCAGAAAGCCACCAGTGAATTGTGTTCTTCTGTAAGTACCTGTTTGTCAAAACCTGCGTCGTCTTCTGAGACCGCTGTTGGTAAAGCCAAAGAGGAACTTCACTGGAATGACAGCTTTGATAGTCTGTTTGATGATGAAGAATTGACTGAAATTCAAAAGAAAATGCCAACAATAAATCACAGTGTGACAAATAACCCTTCAGACAAGTGTTTTGCTCAAAAAGAAAAAGAAGATCTTGAAATTAACAGGAAAAATGTCATTATTGAGGAAGAGAAGAGTATACACTTATTTGAAGATGAACACATTTATGATACAAATAATGGAAGTTTTTCTATGAAAAACAAGTGTTTAGTCAGGTCAGATCCAGGCGAGAGTGGTCTTGGGGCAGTTGCAGAGCGAGGCTCCGAGTGGTTTCATTCAGAGGTGTGCGGTGTGAACGCTGAGAAAACCTGCAAGGAGCAGGCAGTGAGCAGGAAAACCCCAGCCATGGAAATGCCGGGTGGTGCTGGCGTGACCGAGCTGTTTCTGGATGATGAGGGTCTTTATGACTCTTCTCAAGAACTGTTTTCTGTTAACTTTGATTTGGGGTTTTCCATTGAAGAGTATGAGAATGAAATCTGTGAAGAAGATACAAATACTAATAACACCAAAAAGTTAAATGGTGCCTGGGGGCGTCATGCAGATGTTAAATCCACTGAAGATAAAAAAAAATTACTGGATGATAGCTCCAGACTTGAGACAACACCAAAACGGGGCTGGAAAAGTTTTGGGAGAAGAGACGTTTCCACACCAGTGCCATTGCGGAGTAGGAGCATGAATGATGGAGAAGGGACTGAGGACGGTACCGCTGCAGCACTGTGCTTGAAGGCAGGAGGCAAGAGAACGGGGAGTGGATCACCTGAAGCTTTGGCTTCTTCACTCTCTACCCCACCAAGTAGGAAGGCTATGAATAGTAAGCCTATCAAAAGAATTCCTATTAATGCCTTTTCTAGTACCAGGGAGGAAGTTCCAGAGGTGCGTCTTACAGATAAAGAAAATAAAAATAAAAGCCCACATGGACAGAGCTGTGGGGGTTCAGCCATGGATGCACTCGATTCCCCTGTAGGAAGAACTGGAAACCTGGGAGACTCCAGCCTTCGTCGTTCGTGTGTGTCCCCTGCTCAAGGTAGGCATTCCAGTGGTACACTTGGTTAATAAGTAAATAATGTAGAATCCAGTGTCTTTTGGACCCCCAATTGGTTTTATGACTTAAGTGGGAAGGATGAAAGGATAAGGGAATAATGACTGTAATACTGGAAGCTGGCTCAATGACTCTCCAGAATTTTAACCTGCATGCGACCCTAGCCATCTGAGGCTGGCACGCATGTGTGTTGGAGGGAGTACTGGGAATCAGATCTCTCGTATCCCTTCACAAGCACTAACAGTGCAGCCGTGTGAGACAGAATGGTGTGAGCTACAGCTGCCTTTAGCGCCCTTTCTTCATCCTCTCAGTGTCTGATTTGTAATCGTCTGGATCTGTTGCACCTCCATTGCCTTCATATTTTCCTATCATTGTTCCCGAGGAACAGAAACTCTACTGATGGATTTCTTTCAAAAAATTTAATTGCATGACAGCTGACTTGAGTATAAAATTTTCTGATAATAACTTTAGCACAAACCTGGATTGTCTTACAAATATTGACAGTTTGTAGGTTCTGTTCTATTTTTATTTCCTCCTTTCTCCCGTTCTGCCTTTTTCTGGTTTAGGACCAATATAACACAGAAAAATATTTTGTATTCCAATATTGCCAATATATAAATGGCCATCATTCTTCGCTCGCAGGTCACTTACAGGTTGTATTCACACCCTTTGTCATATATTTCTCTGAATAACCTTAAATCCCTTTCAAAATAATTCAGGCTTAATAGTACTCGGTCTGATTCATAGGGCACATTGAGATTTTCTGAATGGTTTTATCACTGTCCTTAAACATTGAAACAAAGCATTTGGTGGTGAAAGCATCTTTTTTTCCTTCTCTTTGAATTTGTCTGATAGTTACCATGTTTTTTGAAGGTGAGTGATGGTCGAATGCCACCTTTCTTCCCGATTCATCACACCTTCAGACTGAGATGTTAGTTTGCTGAATTCAAAAATCAGAATCTATTTAAAAAAAAAAAACAAAACAAAAAAACCAAAGAGCAAACAAACAAAAAACCCCAAACAAACAAAAAAAGCCCCAACAAAACCACAAAAAGAAATAAATTGCTGGTTTAGAATTTCAGGGCTAGTACTGAACCTGGATCAGGTTGTTAAGGCTTTGTCCAGCTGGGTCTTGAAGACCTCCCCGGACAGTGTGTGGTGTTGAAAAAGAATTGGAAAGAGGACTTTTTAGTGACTCTGATTTTGTTTCAGTGCACCCAAAGAAATACGTATTACCAAATGCTTCCAGAAGTGTAACTCTGACTCAACTTTTAAGGGCTTCTTTCCTCAGTTTCATTTTTCGCCTCCCTTTTTCTGTGTCTGTACTGCCTGGGGTAATCACTTCCACGCAGAGACTCTCCAAGGAAGTAGGATTTATTGTACTTCTCAGCTGGAGATTATATATTTTGATTAACAAGGCTAAAGAGAACAATATTTGCCACATAGATCAATAAGTAATCTCCTTTGGAGGTGCTTTTATGAGAGAGACAGATTTTGATTGCTCAGTTATAGAAAGACTGTACTGTGAAAAACGCATTTTCTTTTGAATGTTGTTTACTATTTTTTCTGTAGGAATCAGCAGCGAGAGTGAAGAAGAGATTGTTTTCCAGAGAAAAAATAGGAAAAAAAAGAATGTTTTGAAGTCTCCTGATGTGAGTCTTAGAAAAAGAAAAAAAAAAAAAGACAAGAGAAGCAAAATGGCAAGGAAGTGAATCAGCAAAGCAGAAATCCTCTTTGCAATTATACTTCTTTCTGTTTACGTAGGTTACGAATGACAGTGATTTTGAATCGCCGATTCGTGCCATCAGGAAACGTCGACAGCCATTTAACATGGTTAGTAAGTGCTTTGGTGAGACAGAAGAAAAATAAAGCAAACTCATGGAGTATGTATTTAAACAGTTACTCTTTCTCCAGCCAGTAGGCAAGTGTTCTCAGTGAAAATATTTTATGCTGCCTGACCTAAGGCATATGAGAATGTAATTCCTTTCCTTCCTTCAGTTCTTTCCAGAAGTCTCCAAAGATTACTTTGTAGTTGTTTTTGGCTGTGAATTATTGTTATAGGCAGGAGAGGTGAGCCTCTCCCTTTGTGAAAGCCAGGAAAATAGCCCTTTTTCCACCAAGCTTTGAATTAAAAAAAAAAAAAGTCCATGTCATGTTTGACCTGATTTTTCTTCCAAATAACAAGTTTTTCTGTTCCTTTTGTATTTAATGTGATTAGCGTTACTGCATTATTTTGACATAGCAAATCAATCACAAAAATCAGGTGTTGCTTAAAAAAACAGATGTTGAATGATGACTGTGTAATTAAAACATTGTTTTATTCTTATTTATTTAAGTTTTTGTGCAATGTTCCTCTAGTCAGATACGTCCAGTGACGACAGCATGGATTTTCACAAGCACTCCAGTAGGACCTCAGCAGCCTGTGACAAAAACCAGCCGAGGAGTACCAAACGGCAGAAGGTCAAGAACAATTTGACATACAAGGTATGTGACATTACATATCTCTCTTAACACTGGGAAGGTCACGTTTGGAGCAGTCTGCATGGAAGCTGCAATGTAGCTAACTGCTGTGCTTTGTCTCGTGTGTGCATCTATCTATGTGAGCGCACGTTTGCAAACTCTGCTTCAGAAGAACGTGTCTTTGAACGTGAGCAGCAGGTTACCGAACAAAACCAAGAAGAGACACAGAAGGAGACTTAGTGAGATTCTCCTTTCTGTTCAAACTGCAAGAATGAACAGAAGGTATTCTCTAATTTGTCTGTATTTAAATGTAAAATACCATGAAAATGCCGGAAATGTTGAGCGCTGGTTTCACACACTTAAGAAGAAAACTCCCTGTGTTATTGAGTCACTCGTTATGGAGCTTGTGTGTATTTTATGGCCTAAAAAATGGAGCTTCTGTCTATTTTATGGCCTTTTGTAGGATCTCACGATACAACTGTATTATGGTAGGCATGCAGTTGGGCAGTTTGTTTTTCAGACGTTATTTAGGAGGGTCGAGGCTCACAGCTATTTCATGCAGGTTTGTTGCAAACATTTGAGACGAAATCTTGAAACCGTGGATAATGATCTTAGCCCTCACATCCATTGCCTGGCTTTCAGAGCAGTCTGTGGGGCCCTGCATAATAATGTTCTGAAGCAAAATCTCAATTTACATTACAAGTAGAAGATGCTTAAAGATTAGCCAGACTCGGGAAGCTCAGGTCCTTGTCCTGAACTCATTCTACTAAGATATTCGATCATATGAATTTCCCACCTACTCTAATGGTTGTAACTTTGAACATCTTAAGACAGCAGTGGTCTCTCCACCCCAAAGCTTAAACCCTAACTTTGTATTTTGCACTTTAATCTGTCACTGCATCAGGAATGGAGGCAGGAGAGGATGGGGCCAGAATCATATATTCATAGTAAGGTGAAAAGCAGTTAAATGTGCAAGGGTATGGTCCCACTAGGCATAAATTACTGTAATTAGGGCTCTGGGGCACATTATGTTGGCTATCTTTAATATTTTAAAGATAATCTTCATTATGGAGACTTCCCTATAGTATCACTATTTTATGTTCTGGAATACAAAGAATTAGGTTTTCAATTTTATTTAAACTTTTTTTTTTTTTTTTTTTAATGTGAGACCAAAAGGCTCATGGAAGGAGAGTGTGTTACCTGTGTACTTAAGAAATTCTACTCTGCCTTCAAATACCATGTTGCCTAAACATTCACAGTGATGAGCATTTCAGAATTCCAGATCCACAGAGGTCCAAGACATCAAAACCGTTCTGATCAGTCCACCACCAGCTACGCTGTTCTGTCAGAAGCGCAGGTAACGGAGTTGTGAGCACAGCACAGATCTGCAATTAGATTAATGGAGACTGGGAGAAGTCCAAGGTGACCAAAATAGCCACTGGCACTGAATTCAAAAATTCAATAAATAATTTAAGCACCTGGTGACTTATTGTGTGACCAGACTCTTGGCTGTTAGTTTCTGGTGTCACAGAGCTTTTCACGCTGCAGGGTTTGTCCTCTCCATGATCCTTCAAAAGCCAGAAGGATTAAGACTAATTGGCAATAACATTGAGCGTTCTTTCCTGTAAACAGGTGACCTCCAGTGTGGTTCAGAGTAATCAAAACTGTTCTAGGAAAGGAGCTATTAATAACACCTGTCATTCAGGCTTACTAATTGGTGTAAGCAAATAATTAAAAGACTTAGGAAACTTTGAAAATCAAATGTCACTTATTGTAGCACAAGATGCCTTAGTCTGCCACATACCAAACTAAAATTTACAGCTTTCTGCTTTTTATTCAAAGTATTTGAAGGCAAACAAATCATTCTTTTGGAGTAATTGGGATACATAATGTTTGGTCTTTTTTTTCACATTTTACTTTAGTACCTTATAGCTGACATTATAAGAGAAAAAGTTAGCCTAATATAAAATATCTCTAACAAAACACCTCCCTGAATTCATTTGCTTTGTTCCCTTGTTCATCGTTGTGAATGTCGTGTTGTCTGTTCGCGATGGGATTTAGTACCAAGGTCTGTATCATGCCTCCTGGAGTGCAATTCATGTGGGAAGTGCCTCATCTTCCCTGAAAAAAGAGCATTTTCTCAGTAATGAGTTGCATTGTCTGATGAATGCGTGAAACAATTCCTCCTAAGTCCTAAGCAGAAGAGGGCAACCCACTGTGAAGTCTGTAGCTGAAGTTTCTGGTGGACTTGGGTTCAGACTAATCCAGCACTTTGAAACCAAACCAGATTTTTGAAAGCAAATAAAAGGAGTAAAGCTGGATTTATAAGTTACAAAATAACCTAATGGTTTTGGGTAGCTTAGCTACAAGGTGTTAGCAAACTCTGCCTGTACTGTTAACTAGTGCAGGTGCTACACAGGGTGGTGCCTTTGGCCAGTGCTTTGAAATGGACGCCAGCTGTCCTGTACTTCACTGAACTTTGTGTTCTCTAGCTCGCCATCCCTGTGATGGATTCTCTCTTCAAAGCCAGAAGCCCAAGACCTGTGATCATCCAAGTGGCTGATGTTCTGGAGTCATGAACGGATTTAATCTGAGGTCTCACACCTAACATGAGTTAACTGGGAGGCAGCTTCTAACTCAAACTTTGTTTGGATTTTTTTATCTTTTAGACTGCAGCAAGACAGTTTTTAGATGAAGAAGCTGAGCTGTCCCAGCAGGATGCAGATGGCGTTTCATCTGATGAGAGTGACGATGCAGAGAACGAGCTCAGCTCTTCGCTTGCTCAGTTCCTGAACGATGACGCAGAGGTCACACAAGTGTTGAACGGTGAATGAGGAGAGCTGTTGGTGGTTTTAAGATAAGAGGTGTTGTGTAGCACGTGGTGTGTGATAGGCACGGCCGTTCGGTCAGATAATATGTCAGTGTGTGTCAGCTAATACGCAGTAACCTCCTCAGCTGTGGTAAACCAGGTCCTTTCCATCATCTGTTTGAACCTTTTCTTTTTTTTATTTGCATGAGTTTCTGGTGTAGTAATTTCCTCGTTGGAGTCTCTACCCTGCCATAGCTTTGGGCAGGCTGGGGTCAGGTCTTTGAGGATTGCAGGGGCAGGAGATTGCCTCTCTCCGAGTGTCAGCCACCCCCTCGTACACCATTATGACTGAACAGAAACACTATTTTCCATTTCACTTTGAAATCTCTGAATCTTTCAGGTGGTCTTTTACAGAGAGACCTAAAATATGACATGAAGTAACAATATGAATGTTAAATATAAAATTACATGAAATTGCATGATGGAAACATCTTGTTACCATTTAAGATTCCCAGGTGTTGTGAAGGATTTTTCTTCTCCACTGAAACTGTGAGTTGTTCCCTCTAAGATCCTGAGTGGGCTTCAGTAGATCCACCCCTTTCCATACAGTCTGTTTTGGGAGAGACTAGCCACACGGAAAACCGAGGGATGGGGGTTTGCTGTGGTGAATGCTGCCCTTCTCCCGCTCCGGGCATCCAGAGCTCTGCCTGCTCAGGAAACCTTCTGCACAGCACCTTGCATGGTGGCAGGCTGGGTAGACCCAGGCCTTTGCTTTGGGATTTTCACAGATGTCTGGAGAATTTCAGATTTTTGTTTTGTGAAGTACAGGTTTTTGGGAGACTATAGAGGGATTTCTTCATATGGAAAACACGATGTAACAATAATGAATTGAAAATTATATCCCTATTTATAGTGTATTCTCTTTTATCTTGTTTTAACTCAGACTGTGAGATGAAAGGAGTTTACCTGAAATCTGTGCGCAGTCCAGCTCTTGGCAACAGATACAAAATGGTTCATCGTGAATTCAACAACATGGCCATTTTCTCACAGGTGTGGAACAACGTGACTGCTATCCTTGCGAAGTTCCAATGGCATGTGACCCTCTCTGGGTTCTAATCCTACTTTGAAGGGTAGTTTGCTGCCTGTTGTTGATAAACAATAAGTTTGAACAAAAGACTTTTGCCTTCAGTTTAAGTGAAAGCGTGCAGACACGTATGCTTTGCTGGAAGCATCCGCACTCTGCTCTTCAGCCAGAGAGAGGCTGTCAACCCGTTGGAAGCGAAAGCATCCCAGTCCCCAGGTGGACTCCTAGGGACTCTGTAATGGAGCTGCTTTCGAATTGTAGACTTCTTACCCTGGCTGCTCCCGGCTTGGTGTGGTTTCCATCACACCTGGCTGTGTTCCCCCTCCACGTGAGCGCTGCACTGTGCTCAGCTGAGATGTTTCCTACTTAATCTCTCTTCTGGGCTCTGTTTTACTCTGAGCTCTTCAAACAGCACGTGACATAAAACATTTGTACAGTATTTTTTAGCTACTTAATTTTCCCTTGTTATTTCATAGAGAGCAAAGAAATCACAGAATTGGAAAAACAGATGATCAGGATGGTTCCTTATCTCCCCACAGGTTTTTTTTGTTTTCTGTATTCCTGTTTTTTTGTCACCTTCAGAGATCTATATTTAATGAAAAGGATAAACCACTTTTTTTTTTTTCTTTTTTTTTTTTTTTTTTAGAACACAAATGCTCACTGATTATCAGGAACTGCTGAGCATGTTCCGAAGGGAAGGGGTCGAGAATTCCCTCAGCCCCGCAGTACTTGTGTGTAGGATGCATTGGATAAGCAAAGTGCATTTATGGAGAGGAGCAAAATCATTACCGTGTTTCAGAACTTACGGGGTTTGGTTTTTTCCCCCACAGATTCCCGAGCAAGACCAGACTTATGCAGAAGACAGCTTCTGTGTTGGAGAGGAGGAGGAGGAAACTTGCAAAATAAGTGAATCTAGTGAGGAGGAAGTGTGTGTTAATTTTGATCTCCTGAATAATGAGAGCTTTACTAGTGGAAGAAAACAATACCTCACGCGCCGCAGAAAAAAGTTAAACCAGGTTGGGATGGAAGAGAACTGCTCTGTCCCCGTGCAAAAGAAGAAACCATCCCGCATTATTGTCCTCAGTGATTCCAGCGGGGAAGAAACAGGTGTTGGCAACGAGAAGCCCATGCAAACAGAGTGTTTCTGGGCAGAACAGGAAAATGCTAAGTTACCCAAGTCATTGCCTTCAGTCTCTTCTGTGCAGCACAAAAAAACTGCTGGGGAAATCGGTGTTCATCAGTCTGCGGAGAGCAAGAGTGAGATGCTTCTCGGCTTGAAAGCTTCAGTATCTGAAATGCTGGATTTTCACCCAGAGCCTCAAGCCAGGAGCACGCACATTCCACTGGCTTCAAGGAGGGAGGATCTCCAAGTTCCCACTGAGGTCTGTGTTAATTCAAAACGAGGACCTTCCTCTCGCCTCATGTTTTGGTAAAGAATCCCACGGGGATGTGCTTCTGGTGAGAACGGAGCAGGTCCATTCTGCTTCTCCTGCTTTACATCATCGCCCTTTTCTTTGGTATAGGAAGCTTTTGTACTGGCAGGATAACTTGGAGAGTATCTTAGCAGCAAATGCAGAAAAATTGTGGATGAGATACTGTCTGGAATCTGACAGCCATGGAGGAAAATGGTTCTATTCCAATAGTAGAGAGTGTCCACGAATTCTTTGGATTTTGTAGTTATAAAATACTTGTTCACTGTCCTAAATTAAGACCCTTTGTAGTCTGAGGTTGGGCTCGTGATCGCTGACACATTTCTGCCTGACTTGTATCATTTACAGTATTCGGTTTTTGCTGAACTCGTTAGTGAAGGCTGCATGCTTTGGTCATTCAAGCTGCTAAACAATGAGATCAACTAATTTGGGAGATTGTGCATAGGAGATTAAAGTGTTAATCTGAAAGTGTTGTGTTTTACAATATCAAAAAACACCTTTAAGAATTTATTAATTGGATTTTTGAAAAAAAAGAAGTGAAACAAAGTGTATCTGTTAAATAGCAGTATTTGAAAACCTTGGGGATTTTTGTTAGCGTGTTTTTCTGGGGCCTTATGCTTCTATGATCTCTTAGAAATACAGATTTTCAACATTCACAGGTGGAAAGTTCTTTGAAGAACACCTGTCGGAGCACTTCAGTTCCACATTGTTCTGCTTCCACAAACCCCTCTTCAGCCACGGCTCTGTTTTCATGTGGCCCTCTGGAGAAGAAACCTCCCCTCTGCATCCTGGTAGACAGCCGGGAGATCTCCTCCGGAGCAGAGGTGATTTCTTCCCTGAAGGCGGTTCACGGGGTGAAGGTGCAGGTTTGCTCACTGAGCAGCAGCGATTACATCGTGAGCAACCGCATGGCCGTGGAAAGGAAATTTCTGTCCGAATTACTGAACTCTGTGAACAGGAGTAAAGTCACCCGGCGGATCCAGCGCCTGCAGAGCATGTTTGAGAGGATCTGTGTGATTGTGGAAAAGGACAGGGTTAAGGCAGGTGGGTGTTCCCGGCGGGGCAGCGCGGGGATGCACTGGGCCACACTGGCTTTGTGTATAATATGGAACAGAAAGTAGATTGAAAACTTCTATTTTAGTCTCTGTAGTAGTATTGATAAGGTCACCAGCTGAACGTTAATTTTTTTTATTTGCTTTTGAGGGCCAGTTAATGTAGGCAGAGATACACCACTGGATCCAGAGGGATACGGTGCTTACTAGTTACTGTGGTAGGGAAAAGCAACTTAATTCAAACATTATTAACTGACCGTATTAATATGGGAAAAAAAACCCAACTTCAAGACAGATTTCACCAAAGATAGTAGAATAAAGGAACAAGCACAATCTTATCTGTGCTTGGAACCAAAAAAATAGCGAACCCAAGAAAATATTTTTTTCTAGCAGTAACCTAATGAGTGGTATCTGTCAGACTGTCCAGGGAAGTTCTCACGGGTTGGAACCAGTGTGAGGGGCAGCTGGCCTGAGCACACCATCCCATCTCTTCAGCATACCTCCAAAGTATGGAGAGCAAACTGCGCAATGGCTGCTGCTCGAACAAGCAGAAGATGATCAGCTAAATGAAATCAGCTTTTAGAAAAAGCCAAAAAGAGCACTCCTACCTCCAGTTACTTGGGGAAGGCTGTGTTTGCGCTATTGCCTTGTGACACACAGCACAGACTGGAGGAGTCTCAAAGACGCCTCCTGACTTGATTAAACATTTGTGGAAAATTCAAGACCATTTCTTTAATTTATATAGTTTGGACAAGCCATTTGTTTTAATTCGAAGACCTAAATCATGCGATCAAACAATTTTACTAATGCTGTCTATTCTCAGTGCCATCTAGACAATAACGGAGAGGTCTTGCTCCCACCTGCTTCACAGAAGATGGACCTAGAGCTCACAGCTCCAGTTAAATTACAGATGTTCTGGGATATAAAATCCTCTATTGAAATTAAATTGTTGTGGATGCAGCTTTGGTTTTGTGACATAAATCTCATTTATTGATGGTTCAGATATGGAAACAGTGATAGAATTTGGTCACTGAAGGTGTAGCTTCTCAGCAGGGCTGGAGATAAGTGGATTGCCTTTGAGATGCCTTTTCACCCCGCTGCTGAAGCTGTCCTTCATCTTCAGCGGTTCTGTCCGGTTTTTCTCATGACCCTGTTTCCAGAGTGCTGCCGGTTTCCTGTTTGACACCGAGTTCAAGTGCATTCTTGCCTTTGTAGCTTTACCAGACTTCTTCTGATTTGGTCTGGCCTGTTGTTCATCACTTTTATTGTGTGTTCTTCTCCAGCCTCTTGCCTAAGGACATTTCATTTGCGTTTTCAGTGTTAATTCCTAAAATCTACCTCTCAAAGAACTGAGTAAATCCTGCTACCATGACCCCTTCTGCCTCCTCTCTGTGCGATGTTTTCCCTCATCAGGTTTTTCTTTGTGTGTTCTCAAAGCAGAGGCTCTTTGAGCTGTTTTGCTTTGCAAGTGATTCATATTAGGTGTTTGAATCTCACGGGGTTTTCTGAATTTTTACTCTGCAGGAGAAACATCACGATTCTTCCAGAGGACACAGTACTATGACGGTGTGCTCTCAGCCTTGGTCCAGGCTGGGGTCCGAATTCTCTTTAGCTCCTGCCAAGAGGAAACTGCCGGTTTGCTGAAAGACCTGGCTCTGGTGGAGCAAAGGAAAAACGCGGCCATTTGTGTGCCGACAGAGGTGGAGGGGCACAAACGGGAAATGCTCAACTTCTTCTTGACTATTCCCAATCTCAGCTACCTGGCTGCTCTCAATATGTGCCATTACTTTGGTTCCGTGAAGAAGATGGCCAACAGGTAACAGCAAAGATGCACACTGCGTGCTTTGAGGCCTGCCTTTCCTTTTGCTCTTGTCTCACCCAGGCCCTCCTGCTTGGTAGCTGCTCAGGGAGAGCCTTTCTGTACCTTGCTGGTACTGCCAGAGCTCCCCAGGAGCTTGCCTGTCTCCCCAGCAGTCCTGCCCTGCTCCTTGTGCATTCCTCAGCCTCTTCAAGCTGAGCGGGGCACTGACACGGGCTCCGCTTCCACCATCCCTCCTTCTGCTCTACCTTTCCCTTTCCCCTTCCATGGCATTCTCTTTTCTCTGCAGCTCTCTTAAGCTTGCTTACTGTGGGGTGCTAGCAGCCCTCAGAAAGCTGGAGAGGTGACCTCCAGCTGCTGAGGCGTTCCCATTACTCTCTACCCCCTGGACCCTTCTTGCCCCCTGGCAGTTTCCCCTTTGTCTCGTGCAGCTCCGCATTGGACATCGCCACCGGCGCCCAGGTCAGCCGGCAGAAGGCGGAGGAGATCTTCCGCTACCTCCACTATGGCTTTGACACGCAGATGCTGCCCGAGAACCTCTGCGCTAAGGGGAGAAGCAATGCCATGAGCTGAGGGCCGTCAGACTGGCTTTTTGGACCCCCAGGCTCTTTTCTTTTACATGCACTTTACTGAGTTTGGATTCACTGTAAGATATGTAAATAAATCCTCGCAGAAACCTCAGGGGCTTTTTTGTGTCACGCAGACCTGTGTCTGTGCTGCTGCCCAGGCAGCTGCCTGTCAGCATGGGCTGTACACGCAGAGTAAAGCGTGTGGCACTGTGCTCAGGGCTGGGTACGATAATTACAAAACTTTGAGAATAATGGCTGAAGTGTTTGGTAAGGTAAAGCTTTCTAGCTCAGGCAGAAAGGGGGGGAGAGAGGGGAAGGTACTTGCCGTTTACTGCAAGACTGGTACCCATGGTTCCCAGGATAAAAGTGAGTTGCCAAACATTCCTTGTTCTTCCTGCCCTGAACACCAGAAGGTTTACTGGGTTTGAAGTAGAGATGGCTGGGCCCAGGGCAGGAAGTTCCCTTGTCCTTAGGTGGCCTCCCAGCTGCCATCTCCTTGTCCCCTGGGACCATGCCTTCACCCTCCCCTCCAGCTCTGGCTGCAGGTGGAGGTGACTCCCCTGGTGCTGCCTGGCTGCAGGGGTACAGGCTGTGGTGTGGTGCTGCCACACTGTGGCTGCCTGGCAAAAGAACTCGGTATTTTTATTCCTATTCCTTTTGGGAGTGTGCTCAGGAAGAGGCCTGTGCAGAAGTGAGGGAAATTAATAAATAACTCTGCTGCCACAGGAGGGGTGTGGGTCTAATACAGACCAGCCCAGGCTGGATGTCAGCCATGTGTATTTTTTTAAAAACGAAAGAGAGGATGAAACCTTCCTGGCCCTTACAACTGAAACAAGACTGACGGACAGCTGGTGCATTCTGCTTCTCCCCCCAAAGACTCTGCTTCATACATGAGCAAAAGAAGCTTGTGCTTTTTTATTACATTAAGGAATTGTAAAAATTCAAACTCTCAGTAGAGGAAATTAAAAAGCAATTCCCATTCATTACAGACTGCACCATTATACATTTATTGTAGAGCCATATTTCAAAGATATTTTATCTTAAAATTAATCAAAACGTGCCAGTAATTGGTATCCAAGAACACTTCCTCCTCCTCCTCCAGGGGAAAGGGAAAGGAGGAGCATGGCCAAGAAATTAAGTGGCACTTGTTGTACACATGAAAAGTGACAAACATTGCTGGATAGGCAGCAAGACAAGAATGGTGTTAAAACACATAAAAACATTGCAGTCAGTGTTTCCAAACTGAACTCTTAACATCACGGGAATACCTTCTCCAAGGGGCAGCCAAACCCCTTTGCTTCACGTGAGAGAAGCGTCAATAAAAATCTCCAAAGTTCATTCATTAAGCAGAAGAATAGGAATAATCCTGTTCTTCCTCGGAGGATTCTGCTGCTTCAGCCATGAAGAGCTTCCCTACAAGAGAGCTCTGGTTCACTTCTGCAATAAGAAAATCAGGGGAAAATATTAGTGTGTGTGCCCGAGCTTAAAAAGCAGTAACAGAAGGTCCAAAAATCAAAAATGCTGATGAAAAACAGACTCTTGCAGAAAAATTATTAAACCCAAAGATTGTGGCCACCCAACAAGCCCCTGGCAGTGTGACAGGAAGAAATTAGGAAGCAGAAATGAGGAGTACTTACTTTTATCAACACTGAACTTGTTTCTGTGTGAAGCTGGCGTACCAAGCACACCTCCAGCCTGAAGGAAAGGACAGAAAGGCTCAAACAGTGGCTCCAGCCCAGGAATGTCAGAGCAGTTTGGGGGGCACTGTCACAGGCTCAGGATTATGCTGGAATTAAGCCACCCTAGTGCTGTGCTACATTTTCTCTAAAAATTTAAACTGTTCAACTACCACAAACGCTTTCACTAAACTGGAGGCACAAGCCATTTTTCTGCTTCTGGGATCTCAGCTTTTCATGGAAAAGCCAGGATTACAAAACCTGGGATCCTGAGGGAATAAATAGATAAACTCAGGGGCTGACAGAAGGCAAGAAGTATTGTTTCCTTTCCCACTGTACAGAATAATATAGCAGGAACTCACTGTACCTAGAGATCACCGAATTCAAGAGGAGTTACAAATCCAGAGAACAAGCCATGTGTTCAATCCTGGCAATAAATAGCTCTTTCCTAACAAACAGAACTTCTCTCCAAGAGAGGAAGATCTAAAAACCCAGACCTTTGGGAGGAAGGAGGGGAGGGTTCCTGGTTTCACTAGTCTGTGATTCGGGATCCTGCTTAGCAAGGCTTTGCACCGTTATGGTGGAACTAGGCAACGTTCAAGGAAAGCAGCATTACCGACTTCTTCGTGACCTTGTCCCAGCTGCCTCTGCTGCCTTGCGTGTTCTTCTGCATTCTGAACACATGCCTGTCGCAATCTTTCCTGTAGATATAATCGAGCGCGTTAGCATCACTGGTGTGCTGCCTATGGAACCCGTTGGATACTGTTAAAGACACTGTCTGTACAGCTCTAATTCAGGAAGTTAGCATGGCCGTTAAAAACAGCTGTTGGTCAATTCAATAGAACGGCAGCTCTGGGAGCGTACCAGCAGAGCAGTGTTTGATTAGATGACACACTACAACTTCTAATGCAAGTACCAGACAAAGCTTCATCATCTTCCCAGATGAAGTTCATTCCTTGTTCAGGAGATGAAATGTCGGTTACTCTGCAACCTTCAAGATGATCCCAGTTTCAGTGAAGCCTGAAGCAATTGGGTTAACAGGGTTAAGACTCAAAACGAGCAGAGAAATGTCTGCTGAGGCTGAAGCCCAAACTGAAGCCAACTCCCTTCCCCAGGAGTAACAGGACACGTGAGGGCACTGGTTTCGTTGTCCACGCTTAGTTGCGTAGCTCAAACTGCACACGCTGTCAGAGGAAGGAGCTTTCTCTAAACAAATCCCCCGAGGACTGGAGGGTTTACCATGCATCCTCCAAGTCTGGAAGTGAACTGGTGTCCCAGTTCCAAATGATCTTTCTCAGAAGACAAAAAGCAATCTTGGGGAAAATGAGAAAGCAAAAGGTTAGCAGAGAGACAGTGGTACGAGTTCCTACCTGTTGATGGGGACCAGCATGCCGGGGCTGATATGCTCACACTGAGGGGTTTTCACTAAAGGGAAGACAGCTGAGGAAGGTGTGATCGGGTTGTCCGTAAGCGCAAAGTCATCATCATCATCATCTTGGCTTCCCCGCAACGTTGGCAACTACAAAGCCACATCAGAACAATCAATGACCTGCTCTTCTTAACAACAGTGCTGACAAGGCCTCTCACGGGTCTGTCTCAGAGTGGTGACAGGACACAGCCTCCCGACTCTGTGTCCCTCTCCCCCAAAGAGAGGAGTCCCAGGCTCTCTATCCTCTCCTCAATAGGCAGTGGCTCCACTCCCGTGCTCCCTTCAGTTGTGTTTTTGACTCCACTATGGCCCTGGAGACGCAGAAGGCAGCAGTGTGCGCAGTGCACAGACTGCCGGCATGCAAGGACTTGAGACAGACACCAAACGATGCCTCAATCTTGCTGTTAGTACTCCTGTTGATGCCCAACACTTTTCTAGCCTTTTTTGGCTGCTACTACATATTCAAAAAATAATTTCTGATTAAAATTACAAGGTCAAAGCTGACCATTACTACTCAGGAGGAGGATTTCAGGATTAGTTAGTGAACTTCTGGTCATTCCATTTTGAAAAGAGAGGAGAACTGGCAAGGTTCAGCAAAGAGCAACACGGATGATCAGCAGGTCCTGGGGGGGAGAGCTGTAACTGGCATCAGGGGTGAATGGGGACCAGCACAGTTGTTCACTGGCTCTTCCCCATGAAAAGAGGAGGATAAAGTCAGCAGATGCAAGTTCAGAACAATTATAAGATTATGCTGCTTCATACAGCGAATAATCCATCTCTGGAACTTGGCCCAAGAAACTGCAGATGTGAAGAGTGTGCATGGATTCAGGGAGGGGCTGGACTCGCCCATGGATGGGAAATCTGCTCGTGACTCCTAAATAGGCAGAATTTCTCTCCAGAGATAGACCTCTCACCATACACTACAGAAAGGAGGTTTTTTTGCACACTCAAGCTAGGCAAAATTAATTTTTAAAAGAAAAAAAAAACAAAAAACAAACAACAAAAGCAGGAGAACCCTTTTGAATCGCTGGCTGAAATTGTATTCTACCAAAAACAGTCTCCTGGAGAGCCCCTCTGCAGAACAGGGTGTCTTGGACAGGGACACATTGATTCTTTCATGGCCAATACACTTGTCACAGGGATTTCTCCATAGCACATTGCAGTTTGTAGAAAGCAATGAAGTTCCTACTGCTTGAATTTTGACTTTCCAATGAGCCACGGCATTACTCTACTTCTGCATGTGTGTCAATAAGAAATGCTCTGTTGCCACAAAGAAAACCAACAAAACAAAATGTATCAAGGACATACAGGTGCCCTTTGGAGTCCCTGCTGGAACTGAGGCACTGGTTTTGATGGGCAGAGCTGGTTTGGTCAGGTAACAGCAAAAAGAAAGATGCGTCACAAAATACACTTCATAAACTCTCTCCAAGGGAAAAAAAATATTTCCCTCTTGATAAATGAGTGGCTGTTTACAAACCCACCCACAGCCAGCGTGGCGAGGTGAGCGGTTCTGAACGAGGAGAGAAAGAAAAAAAATCCTGTAAAGTATCAGCGTGACTTTAGGAAATCCCCAGCTCCACAGCACCAGGACCCAGCGCTCAGCCCCAGGACAGCGACAGCACCACACCACCCACCCTGCACAGCGCCAGGAGTTCCTCCACAGAGGCGGAGAGGACAGCCATCCCACCGGCTGGGTTTACACATCCCCTCAGCGGTAATACTTGTCTGCACAAGTCGTGTTCCACACGTTCTCACTGCCGGCAATCGCAGTATTGCAATAACAAATCGAGGAAATAAGCCTCTTCCCCCAAATCCACAAGGTTTTATTGATGGAACTGAACCAGCAGACTCATAACACACCCTTGAAATACCAACCAGAAAAGCACACACATATATACAGAGTTTTCCGAGATTTACCTTCACTCTTCTGTCCTGAAAGGGCGTCGCAGTGAAGATATCGTCGTGGTTGTCCTTTGGCAAATGGTCCAGGAAATCTCTCATCTGCTGCTTTCTTTTGAAGGTTCCCATTTTGGCAGTTATCGCAACTGGCTCTTTCTTATCTACATGAATCAAAACATTAATTGTTCTAAGACATGAGTTATGGAGCATGGTTTTAAAATTCATTAACTGCAATCAATGCTGGTGATACAGTTCAGTATTCCTCCTTCGGGGAAATGTCTGATAGCTTCTTGGTGATCCTTTGAGTTCTCATACAATTTATGCTTTCAAAAAGAATTTCTCTACATCTTAATCTGACGCTTACTCTAGAGCCTTACGCGGCCATTGCAAGTGTCACACGTCGCCTGTTTTATTACGATTTTAACAGAATTATCCATGCATCTGCATTTCAGAGGCAGACGACACTAAGAAATATCACGCATGTCAAGAGGCATAAAGTGCTCAAACAAAGGCTCTGCTGCACAGAGAGCAATTTAGCATCCTTGACACAAAGTTTATGGAATGCTCATCTCAGACTTTGCAAACCTTAATCAAATTACTGCACTTGGGGTTGAAACTACTGGAAGGAAAGACAGGATTTTGTCTCTTCCACTGGTGCATGTATTCCCATCCTCTGCTTTCTGTTACAAGTGACTTTCAGGGCAGACTCAGAAGAACATCTTCCCAATATCCTCATTTTTAGACAAAAACTAAAATAGCTGCTTGCACAGACAGTCAAGTAAAGAAGAAAATTAATCCCCAGTTCACAGATTTTCAGAACAAAGTATTTTTGTCTCTATGCCAAGATTCATCGTTAACAGGATAGACTCATCTTCTGAGAGAAAGCCAGCAAACAGCTCCTTAAATGTCAAATACCAGGTGAAACAGGAAAAAATCCTCTATGGGAGATCAGCAGTGCAGAAAGGTACAGCAACATTAGCAAAAGCTTTCATAATCACAGAAGTGCAGGACACCTTGATTCCATGATAATAGTCAAAATGAGATGGTTTCTACCTATGGTCCAAAATACTCTAGAATACCACCAGCCTATCAAAGCCAAATAAAATTTGTTGCAAAACTGATGCCTGGCAGGCTCTCACACAAATTCTGTAACTGCAACAAACATTTCGAAGAAACATTTAACTAAAGTGCATGCCCTGCACTTGAAACCTCAGTCTGCTGCTTTTCCAAGTCTGCACAAAATTAGAGTTCACTGACTTCAAGGGCAGGGAAACCTGCTGAGATCTGCTCCGTTCTGCGTTACCGGGGCTACAGAACAGGAGCCAAGCGTTCCTGCGTCAAGTCCGGTAACTGTGAGTAGCCTGGGTCACCTCATCTGGAGAGAAAAAATTATTTTAATGCTTTCACTAAATGGAGACTGATGCATGCTTTAACCACAGAGAAACATCACTGGAATCATCTTTGCCCACAGTTGTGTAACACTGAAAAGCTTCAGCTTCCAACGGCTGAGTGGTGGCAAGTCTCTGTCAGCTAGAGGCGTTGCTATCAAATAGCTTTCCTTACCTACACGCCTACTAACTCATTGAACCTTCTCTGTGTTAAGTAACTGGATTGAGCATCTGGTGCCTTCCACTTCAGGGCATCCTTGCTCTCCAAAAACATGAATTACTGACTTCAGAACCAGACAGAAAACAGCAACACTTCACTGTTCTTACCCCGTACTGCCCTTAGTGCACGCAAACACCTCACTGTGCTTTTTGGATCAACAGCTCTGCAAGTAGCTGCTTATCTCCTAGGCTCCCAGAGCCTCTTATGATAGAGCTATTTTCCCCTAGGTGACAAAGCCAGTTTAAGTCTTCCCATCACACCAAAAACTAGAAAACTAAAAACATCCTTTCTCTTCTTGTTACTTCAGTCATTTTTGACATCCTCCAAGCTCTGCAACAAACCTTTAAACCACAGAAAACAACCTTCTTGGCTACTGGACTCTGATGTGTGTTTATGTCTGTATCTCCCATTCCATAATAAAGACTGAATTCAGAATTATCTAGAGACAAGAATGTACCCAGACCCAAGATGTCAGTACCTTTCTGTTCTGGTTTTCCTGAAGAGGTGGTCTTCTTGGCTTGCGTTTTGGAACCTTTTGCCTGTTGTTCCTCTACATACTTCTGCTGGCATTCTTCAGCAGAGCGGGACCCCACGGCCATGGCCACCTCCACCCAGAAGCCGTTCCTGTGCTTTGGAAAGGAAGCAATGGCCCTGCCAAGAGAACAAAGCCACAGCCCTCGTCACGCAGAAGAATCCGCACAACACTGCTAAGCAAAACACCCAGAGACCAACTGCCCTTCCTAGAAAGGACACTGGGAGTTGAATAGAGAGAATCTTGCCTCTGTTGTCTTGTCCAGACACTTTAAAATATGCAAAAATGTATCTGAACAATTTAAGCTAACAGCTCAGTTACGAGGTAAATTTCTTCCTTATTTACAGCAGCGCCTCTCCACCCACCAAGACATGAGCTCATGGCTTTCCAGGTTTCTAATCTAAAAACCCAAACCCAAATATGAGAATGTTATTACTTAGTGTGTGTATTAAATACTGTTCGGTAGCTTAAGTAATTGGCCAATGCATTAATTAAACATTCTTGCAGTTAATCTTCCCTTTACAGTACTTAAATACATAAGCATGTTGTGTTTAACATTTTATTCCATTAGTGAAGACAATACGCTACCTCTGATTTACTGCCTAAATATGAAAACTTTTGCCAGATTATTTACTCACTCCTGTTTTTCAGTTTCACTCGTAGGAATGTTTATCACTTTTAACAAGATAAAGTATGTGGTTTTGAAAAACAGGCAGATGAGTAGGTTCACAAAATTTTGCCTAACATCAGTGTTCCTCTCACTTTACACTGATGACAGCGGTAGGGGCTACTGTGAGATCATTCATCTACAGTTATTTTAGAAAATACTCATTTGTCTCCTTTATTTTGCTATTTTTTAATTTGTTAGCAAAATATATTTTCTAAGAGTGAATTAAAATGTAAAGGAAACCTTTACAGGTTCAAGAAGAGAGACCGAATCTGAAAAATCCAAATCCAGAGCATCCAAACCCTTCAGTATATTGTGACTCCCGATCGCTGAGGGAATCTTTGCCCTGTGAAGGCAGGGCGACCACTTGCCTGTAGAGCTTCTCCAATTCCTTTTCAGACCAACCATCAGTTGCCCTTGGAAAAAGTTCTAGAGATTTCTGCACCTTTTCCCTCTCGGGTTCTCTTGCTTTTGCTGCTGCAGACTTGGCAGTATCAGAAACTTTACAGTTTGGGTTTTTATTGGGTACTTTTGAATTCCTTTCTTTTACTTGAAACTCCTCTCCACTGGTTTCAGACTCAGCGTCAGAGACAAGCAAACACCTCGGAGGGTTGATTCTGCTTCTTGTCCTCATTGCCCTGTCAGGCAGGTAGGAATTACTGGACTCACTAGAAGGTGTTTTTCCTTCAAGTAAGTCAGAACTGTCAATGGATCTGGGCACACTTTGCCTCGACGGCACATTGTGGGAGGCAGCAGAGTGTTTTACTGTCTTTTGTTCATGTGACACCTTGTTTGCATGATCCTGTGAACTTGTACAGTTAGAGTAAGGTTTAGAGGTTTGAGTCACTTTTGTAAATAAAGGTTTATTTTTCCTTTTGGTAGCCAGTGGGACATCTTCACTGGATTCCTCTTCCTCAGATTTGCTTGATGAGTCTTCTGTTAAATGCTTGTCTTGAAGGTGTTTGGATGACCTCAAAGAGTACCTGTAAGCCTGCTGATGCATACGCAGTTCTCCAGGTTCTGTTCCCCCCTTTTCCTTTGCCATTCCTGGGTTTCTGCTCTTGTCATTATATCTGTTCAGTGCTTCAACATTTAAGGGAGTCAGCTCAACAGAAAGCTGTGTTTTAGTTTTTTTGCTAGTGATTGCACGATCACTTCCATCATCATCTGAAATAAAGCACCTGGGCTCCTTGCTTCCAGCAGACTTGGCTTCTCTTATGGAACTTACTGCTTTTTCATTGTTTTTCCCTGAAAGAGAGGATGTCAGTATAATATCACACATCGCCATGTAAATCATTGCTGTGTTCTCTGACATGTGAAGAACAGATGCAATGCAAATGACTAAAAGAATTAGGATTATCAAGGCTACAAAAGGGAACAAGTATTGAGCAGATAGAGAATAAAACAGTAAACAGAAAATGTTTCATCGCTAAAATGCGGTGACTGAGGTTGAGCAAACACTAATATCCCAAAAGCTTTACTTGTGCTACGAATCGCTTTTCTGCAGGAAACACTACGGTTGCTTTAAAAGAGAAACTTACACTTTATATTTACATTGCTTTCAGGGTTCTATTATTTCCCACATTTTATTAAAAATAAATGGGTTTAAAACTCTTAATACACTTTTTTTCCCTAGATAAGAATTTCATTTATTTTAGTTTATGCAGCTTAAAAAGTAAAGCCAGACCACCAGAGACTGGACTGGACTAAGCTCCGCTTCTCTTTGGGCTCTCTCAAATCACACCTAATAGCTATGTTGAGAGATCCAAAGTACAGGAGCAGAAACTTCAAAACAATCATAATCCTTTCATTTCAATTTCTGGAAAGCCATCTGCATGTTCCCATTATGTAAATAAAGACGTGATTTACAAACACAGTTTCTATTCGGAGCTGTGGAACTAGGAAGCCAGGCATTAATGCTACTCTGATAATCCCTCACAGAAGCAGCAATCCACCACTAAAATATTTAAACAATTGCTTTGCACTACCAGGACACCACCATACTGCTCCAGCACCAAACTTGTAATCCCATTGATTCCAGGTAATAACTTTAAAAAAAAAGAAAAAAAAATTACCTTTACTTTCGTTTTTTGGCATTTCTTCTGTTGTCTTCATTACTTCCTTTCTTTTATTCTTCTTAGAGATGGAACTCATCCTTCCTTGGGATTTTTCACTACTAAACATCTTCAAAATAAAACAATTTAATCTAAACTTCTGCAAGAGATTACATACCAAGCCTACAGACGCCAGCTCTGAAAAAGCCAAATGTTTACAGGATGGGTAGATTTAAAAGTCACCTACATCGACCAGTATCTACTAAACACGGCTTGATGAACACAGGCGCTTTAAAATGTTTTTGTAATTTTTTTCAAGATTTCCTTCCTCTTCAGGTACTTCTAAGAGCTGCACTTTGTTAGATACCTAGCCAAGTTTATTCATTATATTTAAGACACATTTAAGTAACAACACGCAAAAGAATCTTACCAGGGTCAGATAATCTATTCCACCTTTTTCTACAGTAACATTTAGATGCTGATCAACAAACTCGCGTTGCCCACACCAGAAACTTAATGGCGGGTTAACAAGCCCGGCCACTACGGGTGCAAACTCTGTTTGAGTCACTCACCCTGGAATGGCACTTTGGTGTTGTATCTATGAGAAAAAAGAAGAAATCCAGTTTTGTCCCAAATATTGTATTGAAAATTCAGCTCTGCAGACTTCACAAGCATAGGAACAATACTGTGTTTAAACCAGCTCGTTTGCACTTGGTACATGGAAAATACAAAACTTACTACAACATTACGTTGTTCTTTTCAAGGTGTCCAGGTCAGAAATAAGCATACCTTGACATGGCTGAAGTAATCATCTTCATAAATTACAAAATTTACCGTTGTGAACTACTTATTTTTACTTTGTTTAGAAGGTTATAAATACTGTAAAAGTCATATGGGGAAGCAGAATGATAAAGAAAAGTTGTCACACTGAACAGATCCTAACTGTAATGAGAGAACAAAATAAAACAGCTTTCATAGTGTTAGCAAGCAATTCTGATTACAGCATTAACAAACACTACAATGAAGTTTCGCCAACGCCCTACTGGAACCTATGACAAGGTATTAGAAGGAAGTCAAAGTTCAAACCAAAATCTGTTAGTGTCCATAACAAATCTAGGGTTGTGTTACAAGGCAACGAAAAACCAGCTGGATCAGTAGGTTATGGCTTTACAACCATTTCCTTCAGAAACAAAGCCAACGTAATGGATTTTTCCACAATCCATTCCATCCATCCCCAATTGTTATCACTTTCTACGCCTCAACTGTGGCAGAAACATTCAGATGCCATAAAATAAACCTGCTCAAGGACTTGACATGAGTTAAAACTAACCCAGCTAAAAAAGGCGGTGGGCACTGCAGGAAAGGAGTCCCAAGGATGGAGCCTTGACAGAGGTATGAAGTCCCACAGGCATCCCAGAACTAAGAAGAGAGTACATTATGCAAAACAGCAACTGGAAAAAAATTAAGGTTGCTGTCAGAATAAACAGCTCTGGAGTCATTGCCTTCAGCTACTACAGACCACGACAGTCTCCTGCTTCTTTTCCAGGGTTTACCCCCAGGACAGCACCCCTATTGTACACTTGTTGTAGCTGTTGTACATCAGCAAACCAGAAAAAAAGAAACAAGTCAACGCTCTTGATCGTTGCAGTCAAAGTGAACACAAACAAAAAACTTCACCTAGCTGGTTTGTTACCTCTTCCACACAGCCTCATTAAAGATACAGACCAGAGAGATACTAGATATCTTTTGTTGGGGAAAACAGCTCTCAAAAAAACCCAACTTTTTTTTTAAAAAAAGATCATTAAATACTCACACTTGTTTTCATAATTCTTCGGTAATACTTCATAGGTGGTGTTTCTGGTTTCACGATTCCTTACATTTCTTGCTGTGTCTTCTGCATTTTCCAACACATCTGTACCCACAATTGAGTCACTCTCTTCATCCTCACCACTATGTTTTTTTTGTTCTTTCCTAATTAATTGGAGTTAAAGAAAATAAATAGTAAGCACCTGAAAAAGTTGTCCTTTCACAACACATTAACTTACATAAACTCAAAGTCTTCTCCTCACCTCGGTAAAAGCCCAACAGCATAGCGCAGCTGTACTCATACAGACACCGCGAGAGGCACTACAGCTTGTCTTTACTCCAGAACCTCAATAAATACTTAAAAAGGACATTGCAATGAAACAGAATCTCCAAAGAAATTACCTTCTTCTTCCCTCAAGAAACACCTCAACATATTCCTTCCACTTTTTGGGAAACCCGTATGTAAATCTTTTGATGAAACGGTAGGGAAATCCTGTTTGACACAAAAGCAGCATTAACAATAGCTAAGCAATACTTTTAATCAGTAAGGGTAAAATCAAGACTTAGACCCTAAAAATCAATCAGTTTACTAACTTACAAAGCACTGACACCCTAACTAGTCTGTCTCCAAACAGAAATTCCATGTAGTGGTGCAGAGCTAGTTGTTAGTTACTGACTAGTGAGTCACAGATGGAGTGAACACCAGAGTAACTTCAGCAGCGTATAAACAATGCCTATTTGAATGTCTTAGCACTACTTAAATGCCAAAACATTGACCAAAATGACATAAAGGCAATCTTAGCAAAAAAGCATTCTTTAAAAGAATGTGCCTGTTAGCCAATTTCACGATCTGAAAGCCCTCTCTGTAACTGAAGCACCCTAAAAACGCCAGCTACAATTAATAATAGATAGTATTTCAAGATCCGACGCTGGAATCACTCTCCAGCATGTGTTCAATACCCACTGAGCCCAATTAGCAGGATAAGACAAAACATTCCCTTCAGCAGTGTGTTCAGTCATAAATCTTACGCCCTTCTCAGTTTGTATTGCTGCATTAAGAATCATCTTCTTACCTTCTTTTTGCATCGAAACTGAATCCATATGTCCCTGTAGCAAGTAGATACTGCCAGACGAGGTTTTCACTTGGTTGCGTGCTATGCACTCCACAATTGCAGTGCTATGCCAAACCACATCTTTCATATCTCTAAGAAAAGACAGATAAGAAGAAGAACAAAAATAAAACACTGTTTTCATAAAAGAAGGAATTTAAAACTAGAATACTGATATTCCATATGAGACTGGCAGGGATACATATTTCATGAACCTTATGGACACTGGCAGGGGGGGCAACCTAGCTTGGAAGAGAAGCAGTTCTTGTCTAATCTGTGGACAGGAGACAGAATGAACACGTCACCTGCTGCAAATGTTGGTCACAGAACGCTAGCGTGACACTAGGCTGCAGAAGAAACATGGCCTAAAGGGCTCCATCCACCTTGTTACTGCAGTGATACCATTACACAAGTTACAAAGCTACCATTATACAGGTGAAATGTATATTTTCCCCAGGATTTTTATATTTATTTCTGATCTTCCTAATTAAAGACAAGAACAACTGAAGAAGGGGCCTTAATATGTGAAAAAATCAGAGTTCTTAAGAAATTATTATGGGATTTCTCCATGAGAAATAAAAAACAGACCCAAGCATTAAAGCAGAAAATCTACATAGAGTGTTCGGATTTTTTGGTTCTGTTTTTTGGGGTTTTTTTAAATATACTTTTACAACAGCAACCAACAGACCAAACTACAGAACAGTATTAAGGATTGAAACCCAAGACGACAGTGAAAACATTCAGCTGTATAACTTGACACTAAATATGACCAGACGTCAATTGAGAGGGTCTACAAAGCAAATCAAATATATCACGTGTAAGCAACAGGCATCAGAGATACACCAGCACAAACGAAGAGAGAAAATGTTGCTGGCAGCGAAGCGTGCAAAGTGAGAGGATTGGTAGTTTCCATACAGCCATGAAACAAATGTCAATTCCTACTACAAATCCTCCCGCAGAATATGCAGCCTCCCAACATTGTTCAGTAAGCTACTGAGTTACTTCCTTTCACCATGCTACTGTGGCAGCCCACCAACAAGTTTTACATTGCATTTAAATCAGAAAACCTTTTCTTACTTCCGTTTTCCTTCAACAAATATTGCAGTGTTACCATCCATCACGTTAATTCTCCAACTGGTTAGGCAGATATTTTTCTGTTACCAAAAAAAAAAAAAAAAAAAAAAGGAAATTTCTAAATTACACTAAGCTATGCAATATCACCAAGGCATTAGCAAAATAGAAATTACTTCCTGTATAACTTGAGAAGATATTTAGCACCATCCTCCAGACCAGAAAACCTGAAAACAATCATTATACGCATAAATGCTGAAGCAAGTGAAGACAGGAATTAAAATTATAGAAAGTTTTGAGTAATTTAATGTTGACTTTCAGAAGACAAAGTCATTGGCCAAGACCTCTAGCAAATCCAAAGAGCTCCTCACAAAAAGTACCAGCACTATGCAGCACGTCTTACACTGTCATCTGTCCTCCATTACTCTTCAGAAAAAGTGTTATCCATGAAAAACTTACACTGTATTTAATAGCTCTGTTATTGCTAACATTTAGGCAGTATTGAAATGGCTGTGTCTGATATTGCGAACTGCTGACGCACACACAGCTGCAGTACCTACATCTTGCACTAAACAGTCAGCAAGCCAGTTGCCCTGGAGCTGCAGTTTGGAAAACTGTGTGAAACATACGACTTTGTTTTAAAAAAAGCTTCTCAGAAAACAATTTTTTAGCTTCCGAAAATATCACTATTTCTCCTCACAACTTCAGTTCATAAACTCCAGATCTTATCTTTAACGATGTTCACCTTTTGACCACCAGGCTTGACTTCTCTGAAGATCTGGCCAATGATTCAACCCTGATGTAGGAAAGGTACCCAACACGTACAGCCAGCACCTACTTGACTCTCGGACCTGTAGAGAACTCTTTCAGCCCATACTGTGGCTTGGGAATACTAAACCAAAAGACCTTCTTTTGTAAAAAAAAACAAAAAACAAAAAACAAAAAAAACCCAAAAAAAACCAAAAAAAAACCACCAAAAACACACCAAAACTGCCAAACAAAACCAAAAAAAACCCCTGAATATTCTCATCTTGGGAGTACAGGGAAAAAATAAATCCTTTTGACGGGAAAGCATTTACCAGTATAATCTAATAAAAGAACAGTTTATTATCTTCTGAGCACGCATTACTTTTTGACAAGAAAAAATAAATAAATCGCAACTATGAGCTACAAGCAGCCCACAGGAACGTATCAGTTGCCCTAAAGTATTAAGTTCTCCCACCTCTTTGCCTGCTCTGCCAGCAACTTGATCTGTATGAGGTTTATCCAAAGGGACCTCACTGCCTTCTTTTGGCTTTTGCTTCCTTGGAATGTGGGCCTTGGGAGAAGAGAGCTGAATACTACATAAGCACTGTGAGGGCTTTTGAGAATTAGTCTCTGGTATTTTTTCTGCTCCATGAGCCCCTTGCTTATTACTTGGCTCCATCTCTCTTCCGTCTTGATGAAGTTCAGCATTTAAATTCATAGCATCAGTCACTGTACTATGAGACATTTCATCATCAGCATCCATTGACTCCACAATGAAGTTATCCTGATCATCCTTATCAGTGGCCACATGCTCTGTAGGATTATTCGTGAGCTGCTCAGCAAAAGCAGATTTGACTAATGGCTTTTCTGTAGTTGTGGAAGGAGGAATGTTCTGCCTGGTTGCATTTGAAGCTGTTGGATCTGCCCCTTTAAAAAAAAAAAAGTAATAACAAGGAAATTAGTGATATTTGAGAATTAGTAAAAGTACATTCATAAAGTTAGCTCCATTTTCCATATGAGGAGCTTGTATTGATTAGCATTATGATTGTGAAAGCACTGCCTATTGCAATTGTTCACGTTAACAGCGAGCCACTCTTGAATTTGTTCAGACTAGATTTTCCTCACCCGCAGATCAATACCCCTGCTGTTAAAGATTTACAGATACCCCACTTTCCCCCAAAACCAAGCTAATGCACACCATACCTGTTAATAGTATATCTTTACCGTTCTTACTATCTCTTCTTTAATGAATCCTCCTTGCAGAGCTGTCCTGGTTTCACGAAACCCGACACCTCAAATATTTCCATCTTTCCAGACATCAAGACCTGGACTTCTAGCCATGCTGCTGCTATGCTGGGAGCTACAAGCACTGGGGTCTGAGTTTGCCAATAAATTAAGTTCAGTTTTGAAGTTGAACACTACCAAGACTTTAGCATGCATCTGCATTTTCAAAACTGAATTACAGGACAGAAGCATATACAGGCTTGCTATCAAATAACAACATAGAAAAAACCAAAACAAGACAATATATCACGGAACCAAACCCTTTCTCTTTATGTATTAAAAACTAAGGGGGGAAAAAAAAAAAAAGCCAGCATATATATAAGACGTCTAGGATTTTTCTATGTTTCTTCATTTTCCACTGTGTGCAGACTACAAAGAAAGAAGAACACCACTCTGCTAAAGCACATGAGACATTATAAGCAAGAACAGAAACCCTGAAGTCCAGAAAGTTTTTGAAGTGTTTTTAAGAGCAATACCAAGTACCTGTTCGCTGCTGCTGCAATTTCCGCTTTACACGCAAGAAGAACTTCTGAGGGGATTCTAATACAAGAGGGTCTATGGCCAGTGCTTTTGCAGTCCAGTTCTCAGGAATTCTTTTCTCTGGAAAATAATAGTACAAAAAAATCTTTGAATTTGGGGAAGAAAAACATTTTCATGTCTGGAGCAGGGGAAGCAAAGTACATACTTCATAAGATACTAAACTCCACTATACAACGTTTTCTTTCCCAAGATGGATGGGCAATAAGGCCTTTCCCTTTTCATCAGGGGGTAGCTGTTACCTTGCCTCAGCTGCATGTGAGAAACGCCCTCAGGTGTGTGTGTGCATGTCTGGATGTAACCCAACCCACAGGGATCCACAGGAGTGTGGAGGTGCCTGCAAATGGATGTGTTTCATAGCGGTGAGTAAGGTCTAACAAGCAGCACCAGTACTGACCCCTTTCAATATTTGATCAAAAGTCATTATCAATCTGTGATGTGATGATGCAAGGGCAAAAATACACCTTTTGGAAAGGCGTTCTTAAAAAGGAGTTAAAACTTTCAGAGCTTTCACTTTTTAGTAAAAACATAGAATCACAGAATGGTTTGGGTTGGAAGGGATCTTTCAAGGTCACCTAGTCCAACCCCTTTGCCATGGGCAGGGACACCTCCCACTAGCCCAGGTTGCTCAAAGCCCCGTCCAACCTGGCCAGAATGTTTCTAGGGACTGGACGCCTACCATCTCTCTGGACAACCTGTGCCAGTGTTTTACCACCCTCAGTGTGAAAAATTTATTCCTTATATCTAGTCTGAATCTACCCTCTTTTAGTTCAAAACCGTTACCCCTCATCCTATAGCTACAGACCCTAACATCTCTCCTGTAGCCCCCTTTCAGCACTGGAAGCTGCTGGAAGGTCTCCCCGGAGCCTTCTCTTCTCCAGGCTGCACACCCCCAACTCTCTCAGCCTGTTCTTGCTCGGGAGCTGCTCCAGCCTCGGCCCATCTCCGTGGCTCCTCTGGCCCCGCTCCAGCAGCTCCGTGTCTGTCCTGTGCTGGGGACCCCAGAGCTGGGTGCAGCACTGCAGGGGGGGTCAGCAGAGCAGAGCAGAGCAGTCCCCCTTGTCCTGCTGGTCACACTGCTGGTGATGCAGCCCAGGACACAGGTGGTTTCTGAGCTGCAAGCACACATTGCTGGCTCATGTTGAGCTTCTCATCCACCAGCACTCCCAAGTCCTTCTCCTCAGGGCTGCTCTCAACCCATTCTCCTCCCAGCCTGTATTGATACCGAACCAGGTGCAGGACCTTGCACTTGGCCTTGTTGAACCTGATGAGGTTCCTCATGGGCCCACTTCTCGAGCTTGTCGAGGTCCCTCTGGATGGTATCCTGTCCCTTAGGCATGTCAGCTGCACCACTGAGCTTGGTGTCGCCTGCAAATTGGCTGAGGGTGCACTGGATCCCACTGTTGAAGTCATTACTGAAGATATTAACCAGTACTGGTCCCAGTAGGGACCCCTGAGGGATACCACTCGTCACTGACCTCCATCCGGACACTGAGCTGTTGACCACTACCCTCTGGATGTGACCATCTAGCCTATTCCTCATCCACCAAACAGTCCATCTATCAAATCCATAGTTCTTCATTTCAGAGAGAAGGATCTTGTGGGACACCGTGTCAAGGGCCTTACAGAAGTCCAGATAAATTACATCAGTGGCTCTTCCCTCGTCCACTGATGTCACTGGAGTTTCGAAGGCCACCAGGCTGGTCAGGCAGGTCTTCCCTTGGTGAAGCCATGCCGGCTCTCTCGAATCACCTCTCTGTCGTCTGTGTACCTTAGCACAGCTTCTAGGAGGATCTGTTCCAGGATCTTCCCAGGCACAAAGGTTGGTATTTCCCAGGGTCCTCCTTGATATACTTTTTAAAATGGGTCCAATGTCTCCCTTTTCCCAGTCACTATCATTTTTGTTTAATCTCAATTTTATTGCATCCAACAGAAATAAAGTAAAAAGTGGTTTTAGGAAGACTTCTTCATATCTAACCATAAAATGAGGGCACTGCCTCCTTCATAACAGGAAAATCCCAAAACTGGATAAAAGTCTAGTACAGGAGATTCACAAGTACTGTACTTCAAACAGGAATACATGCCGTGATGAAGCATAACCCTTCTGAGAAACCACCCAACATTTCAGTGGGTCTCCTGCTCTGGGTGATCACAGTGTGAGAATAACAGGGCACCACCCCAGGACACCTTCCTCTTTAAAATATCTGTTACCTGTACAGATACACAGCTCTGGGATGTGAAGCAGAAGGAAGGCCATGCCTACCCGCCTACAGTACCTTTCTTGGGAAGGGGCACAGTGCTTGCAAGTTCACATTACACCAACCACCAGAAACAGAGGAGGCACTGAGAGAGCCAGCAGACCAGGCTGCCCAAGGAAACACCCCAGGATTTCAAAATGGAAATAATTCTTCCACCAACCTTTCTCTTTTCTGTGTGGACAGAAAGGAGTAGTTAAAGTAATTGGTTGTTTTGATTTTTTTTTTTCCCGTACAAAGCCTAAATCTGAGGTTTTCAAGATGTTGCAAAGGGTCAATCCCATTCACAAACAACAGAAGAGCAGTTAAAGCCAGACTGAGCAAAAAAGGGAGAAAATACTATGGAAGGGATTCCTCTAACATAAAGAAAGGGGAAGAGAAATCACAGAACAGTTTGGGTTGGAAGGGACCTTAAAGCCCATCCAGTTCCACCCCCTGCCATGGGCAGGGACACCTCCCACTAGCCCAGGTTGCCCAAAGCCTCATCCAGCCTGGCCTTGAACCCCTCCAGGGATGGGGCATCCACAGCTTCTCTGGGCACCCTGGGCCACTGCCTCACCCCCCGCACAGGAAAACATTTCTTCCTCACATCTCATCTCCATCTCCCCTCTTTCAGCTTCAAACCGTTCCCCCTTGTCCTGTCACTGCACTCCCTGATAAAGAGTCAACTTTTAAATTTTTTTTCTGAGATAAAAATCAACTACGGTACAGACACATCTTAGCATCAAAAACCCTCCATCCAAACTATTTTCAGGGGTAAACCCAATGCTGGCAGCACTGTGTTACACTGAGCACACCCTGGCTGCTCTCGAGACCCTGAAGAGCCGTAAGCGACACGCGGAGGCAATTACCCCCAGCTCAGCATTAAACACCAGACGCATTTCCCAGAGAAGCAACGGAACAAACCTTGTTGTGGCTGGACACCCCCCCCGG